CTCAATGGCACCTGACAAAAACAACAACAACAAAATTGGAAAACTACTACAGTAAATGTATTTTTCAAATTTTTCTAAAACAATTCAGTGAATTACTACTGATTATTTAAAATAATAATACATTAGGACTGAAGACCAGAGGAGTTGTGGGAAAACATAAAGAACATCATACAGGAAGAAAGCAAAAAGTAATTAAGAAAACAGGAAAGAAGGAAATTATCAAAATGGATGTCAGAAGAGACTCTGAAACTTACTTTCCAACATAGAGATGCTAAAGCAAATGGAAGAAATAAGGAGATACAAGAGCTGAACAGAAAATTTCAAAGGTCAGCTGGAGAAAACAAAGTCAAATATTACAACAAAATGCGCCAAGATCTTGAGTTAGAAAATCAAAAGAGATGAACACTCAGCATTTCTCAAGCTGGCGAAACTAAAGAAAAAATTCAAATTTCAATATATTTTTTTTTTATTAAAGGATTCTGTGGGTAAATTATTGACTGATGCAGAAAGCACCAAAAGAAGATGGAAGGAATACAGAGTCATAGTACCAAAAGAAAATGGTCAATGATCATCTGTTTCAAAAGTAGCATATTATCAAGAACCAATGATACTGAAGGAAGAAATCCAAGATGCATTAAAGGAATTGGTAAATAACAAGGCACCAGGAATAAAAATTGAAATCTTTCAAGAAAGTAAGGTGGCACAGGAGGCACTCACTCTTCTCTGCCAAGAAATGTGGAAGACAACTATCTGGCTGACTGATTGGAAGAGATAATGTTTGTGCCCATTCCAAAGAGAGGTGACCCAACAGAATGCGGAAATCATCGGACAATCTTTTTGATATCCCAAGTGAGTAAAGTTTTACTAAAGGTAATGGCTGCAACTATACACTGAAAGTGAACTTCAAGAGGTTCAAGCTGGATTCAGAAGAGAACATGGAATAAGGGATATCATTGTTGATGTCCGATAGATCTTGGTTGAAAGCAGAGAATACCAGAAAGACATTTAACTGTGAATTATGACTACACAAAGGCTTTTGATTGTGTGGATCATGACAAGCTATGGATAATATTGTGATGTATGAGTATTCCAGAACACTTAATTGTGCTCATGAGGAATCTGTACATGGACCAAGAGGCAGTTGTTTGAAAAGAACATGGGAACGCTGAATGGTTTAAAATTAAGAAAGATGTGTGACAGGGTTGTATTCTTCCACCATACTTATTCAATCTGTATGCTGAGCAAATAATCTGAGAACCTGGGTTATATGAAGAAAAATGTGGCATCAGGATTGGAGGAAGACTCATTAACAACTTGAGATAAGCAGATGATACAACCTTGCTTAGTGACAGTGAAGAGGACTTAAAATATTTACTTATGAAGATCAAAGAGCATATCCTTCAGTATGGATTACATCTCAATGTAAAGAAATAAAAAAATCCTCATTACTGGACCAATAAACAACATTCTTATCAATGGAGAAAAGATTGAAGTTGTCAAAGACTTCATTTTTTTGGGCTCAACCATCAACACTCATAGAAGCAGCATTCAAGAAATCAAACAACATGTTGAATTAGGCAAATCTGCTGCACAAGACCTTTTTATAGTATTGAAGAGCAAAGATGTCAGCTTGAGGACTAAGGTACACCTCACACAAGCCATGGTTTTTTCAATCATATCATATGCATGTGAAGGTTGGACAATGAATAAGGAAGAACATACAAGAATTGAAACAATTAAGTTTCCATATTGGAGGAGAATATTGAAAGAACCATGGGCTTCCAAAAGAACCAACAGATCTGTATACAGCCAGAGTGCTCCCTGAAGGCCAGGATGGCCAAACTTCATCTCTCTTACTTTGGACATATTGTCAGGAGGGACCGGTCACTGGAGAGGGATGTTATGTTTGGTAAGGTGGAGGGTCAGAGAGAAAGTGGAAGACCCCATTGTAATGGATTGGCAAAGTGGCATCATCAATGGACTCAAGCATGGTAACAATTGTGAGTTTAGCTCAGGACTGGGCAGTGTATCATTCTGTTGTTCATAGGGTCGCTATGAATCGGTACTGACTCGATGGCACCTAACCACAACTAATACATTAGGAGGTTTTGCTAATATATCTAGTATTCTAAAATTTTCTTCAAGTTTTGTTTGAAATTCTTACATTTTGTCATCAATAAATACCAGGTGGGACAGTGGTTAAAGTGCTTAGTTAGCAACAGCAGTTTGAACCCAGTCAATACCCCGTAGAAGAATATGGCAGTATGTTTCCATAAAGATTTACAGCTTTGACAATAGTCAGTTCTACTAGGCTGGGAAGGGACTTCAAATAGGAATCCACTAAGGAGCACTGGTAGCATAGTGTTTTTCAATCAAGCTGCTAATCTCACAGTGAGCAGTTTGAAACTGCTAGCTATTCCATGGGAGAAAGATGAGGCTTTTTGCTACAAGAAACTCTATATAAGTTCGCTATGAGTCAGACCTGTCTCTACCAGCATATAACCACCACCAACCATACAGTATGGACTTGGTTTTGATTTGCTCAACAATTAGAAAAAAGATGACAAAAATACAAATACTTTAAATTTGATTTCAAGAATATTTAGTCTAATTTAACGTGGTGTCAAATATATCAGTTTGTTTGTTTATATTTTAATTAATATTGCTGCATTTGTAGTCATTATTTCGATCATTGAAAATGAAAGAATAAATATCAAAATAAAATTACCGCATGAGTTTCAATTTAAGAAACCTAAGAAAAGTATATTCTTTAAATGTTTTTTTTTTTTCTTTTCTGTATTTTTGTTCATGTGAAAATCAATTGCTGAAAAAAGAGCAATAATAACTGACCCTATTTTTGTCCCTGTTTTGCAGTCAAGAAAGTTGAATTACAGATCTATATAGTATTCACTCAAATTCCTGGGTTTGCCATTGATGAAGCTGTATTTTAAATTATCAGAATAAATATTCTTAATAATTATGCTACTGCAATTTACTGAGAAACCTTAAAACTAACGTGATACAAATAAACATTATATACAAAATTTCAGAAAATTATGTAGTTTAAGTATGTTTTTGTTACTAAGTGCCATAGAGTTGATTCCAACTAATAGTTATCCTGTTGTATGATTTCTGGGGCTATAAATCTTTGCATGAGTAGGAAGCCTTATCTTTTCCCACATACTGGCTGGTTGGCCCAAACCACAGACCTTGTATTCTCAGTGCTTTTTCTACAGAACCAGTGTGCTCCCCAGTTGAAGTATATGATCTCTTAAATCCTTCTTATATTTTTCTCTTTTATACTAAGTATAATTTATTGTTAAGTCACTTCTGACTTTTAGCAATTCTATACAATAGAACAGAACTGACCATAGAATTTCCAAGCCTGGTGTTGCGCTGTAGGATAATGCACTGGACAAGATCAGTTTGAACCACAAGGTCAGTGGTTCAAGCTCACTAGCTGCTCCTTGGGACCCCTATACAGGGTCCCTATGAGTCAGAACTGACTTGATGGCACTAAACAACAACAACATCAGCAAGGTTTTATATAATACAGTGCAATACAATATAATATAATATAGGCCCTAGTGGCTTGGTGGCTAAAGCATTCAGCTGCCAACTAAAGGTTGGTGGTTCAAACAAACCATCACATCAATATGAG